TAAATGGCACTGAGAGGGCTAATACTTAAATATTGACAGGAAATAACGAACATGAAAACACAGACTTAACATTAGGAAATGGTCTAAGCAGATCCCATAATAACTTCTAGGCAATTAAATGTTATCGTAATAGAAGTTTTAGAAATACTTTCTCAGACTAGTAAAAGTAGGTTATACGCCAGTCTCGTAAAGAAAGTTGAAGAATCAATGTGCAACTGGGACTAGAATGGAGAAAACGATCCAGGAAGCAGCTTTTTTCATGGATTTAGAATTCACAACAAAATTTTGCATCGCAAAAAATCAATATTTATAAAGGTAAATGCTTATAAATTTATTCCTGGTGGAAGGACAATATTTTGAGAGAAATGTGCACGCACTTTCATCTAAAACTCTGAAATGAAAATGAAGATGGAAACAATGCAGTGGTATCAATCGATACAATAACAACTCTAACTGTCAGGGACTGTACAATGAAATAAAAATTTTAGTCTCGCTTTTCCCCTCAAATCCCCATTAATGAAAAATTACAAAACATTGTTTCAATAGGAAACATAGGAAAAATCTACCACTGAAAATTGTCATCAATTCTATCAAGTTTGCAACATTTTATTCAACTTGAAATAACACTAGAAATTCAAAGCATATCAAAACCACTGGCTCATCATCAAGAAGTTACTTCAAACAAATGCATGTATTTAATTTCTTAAAAATAATACCCGCTCCCCCATGTTTCTTTGAGCATTTACTTTTGTAAGGAGGATGGAAACCACTGCAGTTCCATTCTACTGACCTCTATTAAAGAGTCGGCACACAGTAGCAGAATATTCCCATTAAAGGCCTGTCTCATTGGGCCTAAAACACAGCCAACCATCATCATAATCTCAGATGAACTCTGCTTTGCCTAGGAATGACTAATGGCAAAGCAGTGATTTGTCTGTCTGTCCAGAGGACAGTAGTTTAAAAAATCATCTACTTTATACAAATAAACACTTTACTCCTCTTTACACTGGTCACTGAAAGCAGAAAACTCATCAAGAGGGATATAGTTCAATAAGAACAGTTCAAAGAAATTGGATGTGAATTGGAGATAATAATATCTTGCCTCAGGCTGGTACCTTCTATTTCTTCACAGCCATTTCCACCACCCTCTTTTACAGGGTACAAAAGCATACCTTGGTTTAGAGTTTATATTGCTTTTATTGTTGAGAAATTAATTTACACTATGTGTGGATTTTCCCTAAATGTCTTCTGAGCATTTCTGAGCACCTTATGGATGGACCATTCCAAAGACATAGAAAACATTCAATATCCAAAGGGAAAGCAAAGATAAAAGCTGTAAATCTTGATGGCTCTGTTAGAATGCTTCAAATCAGTATTGCTTGGAGCACTCTGAAAAGTACAGGGTGTTTTTGAAATTGCAAATACATGAGTTTAAGAAGACTAAAAGATGTAAAAGAGGCAAATACATTGCCAGTTTGTTGTTTTTGCTAGAGTTCAATATCAATGTTAATAAGTATCACTGCACCCATTATTATAAGGCTTTTGACTAAATAACACTGCAGAAAAGATACTAGTGTGTAACTTAGCAAAATCACAATCCACGTTGCCATGCTGAAATGTAACAATATGTTCCAATAACAGTTTTTGAATCAAATGACCTTTTTTTTTTTTTTTTAAGCAGTGATGTACCTTTTCAGATTACACATTTTTTCAATTATACATAATAGCATCTGGCTTCAGTAAACTACTTTTAATAACAGTAATAATTACAAGTAAAAACAAAGAAAGCAAAACTATTAATAATGTACGTTCACAGAATTCTTTCACTCTGAAGATCCTGAACAAACAGTGATTCATTTAGCCTCACAATACCCCTGTGAGGTAGGTAATTAGTATCAGCCCCTTTTTACTGGTGGGGAAACTGAGGCACATACAGTTTAAGTAAGTTGCCCAAAGTCTGGGTACAGAATCAAGGTACCTGACAGCCATCTTCTGTTTCTTAGCCATCAAATCACCTCTCCTCACAAACAAAATTAACTGGAATATGTAAAAATATTGCATATGTGTGTGCATGCATGTGTGACTAGCATTTGTGCACAGAAACAACGCTGTGTTCCTGTATATGCATTATCAGGATTTTAGAGATATAGAAAGAATAAAATGCTAAGATGTAACGGACGTAGTTCAAGAGCATCAAAACATAGCACTAGTGAGACTTTCCATTTAACGATAAACCAAGGGGAAATGGAATGGGAAAATGGAAATTGTATTTTCTCAGTTTTAAAATAATTAATTTTAAAGTTATTCTTTCCAGGGAATCAAAGGCTTTCTTTATTATATGCTGGGTATTATTAATACAGATATGGCAACACTGACATCTCTTTAGAAAACAGTGGTTTTAAGACATGACAAACCAGCCTCACAGGAGTGCGGCACGTATCAAATTAATAATCATCGTAAAACATTATTACAGGCACTATATTGTGCTAAGTGTTAATTAGAGTACCAAGCGGTTAAATATTCTACGGTGTTCCAAAAGACTCCTGTTATCAGAGACACAAATCACTCTGTATTAACTGTATAAAAGCAGCTGTTAAAGCATAAATTAGATGCGTGACCTAGTTCCATCAGTGTCCTTTGCCAATCAGACGAACTATGGGAGAACAACCCCAAGCTTAAACTTCCATCCCATCCCTTGTCCATGAGGCTAATCTGCTACTCACCTGCCCTATACAAATAACCCACTTCAGCTTTATTTCACAGGAACAAGTAAGCTGTTTCCAATACTATTTTATTCTCTGTTCCAGTTCTTTTCCACTAGAAAAAGCATAAAGAGCTCGTGAGAACAGAAAGCCTTTGGTGCAACAATCCCAAGAGTTTCCAATGCACAGCACATTTTGTATTTGCACTTCTCTTCAAGAAACCCAGACTCAGATACATGTAACACCTTGGTTTTCTACACAGTCTGGCATACAAGAGTCAGCTAGAGCATTGCTTCTCTGGAAATCAGTTTGCATGGCACTCTATAACTACATAGGCAGAAATTTTAGAAGAATTTTTGAAATTATTTTCCTGAGCAGTTTGCAAGTGCTTTTCAGAATCTCTCACTTAAAATTTTCCACCTAGTTCCTTAGAGTAATTTTATAATCTAGATTTTCTTGTGCTTTATACATACATCCTGTGGGATTTGTGAGAGCCTACAGTAAGTACTACACTGAATTATTACATCCCAGTCTGTTGCATTTGATGACAACATGCTCTAGGATATCCACAGCTACATGGAATGCATACAATAATTTTAAGACAGTTCTCTTCTGTCTTATCAGAATTCATTATTTTATGATTGTTTATTCAGCTATCTATCTGTATCCTCCTTAAGCGAGGTGGTGTGTGAGCTTGCCACTAGCATCAGTATGACATTCAGTGAGTAAAGAGCTATCTATTCTCTATCAAAGGCAAAAAGTGAAGAGATTATATAGGTTTCTCAGAGAAGCATCCTAATTCCAGGCAGCTGTGACACACAGGATGCCAGATGTTTAAACTCAACACACCACAGTCCATTTCCTACACAGCTCCATAAACCACAGGGAAAAGACCAGTGAGGTGTGGATTCACCCTACTGCCACTCCCTAGGGGTGCAGAGGTCAGGACTAGGAAACTCTGACCCAAGTCACAAAACTGGGATTAGGAAATTCTGACCTGAGTCAGAAGCCTTTCTGCAGGCGGCTCCTTCAGAAGCCCCACCACCATCCCTGAAGAAATAGAGGCCGGCGGTGGTAGGGACTGAGTGACACCCTGTGGTGATGGAAAGGAAATACAAACCCCTGAATCACAGCCCATCCTCCCCATGGCCCTCCGGATTGTCAAACTAACCCAAACGGAAAAGGTCACGTAAGAGTTTGCCCACCCCTGCCTGCAAGGACAAGCAGCCAGGGAAAATCCCAAAGAAGGATGCGGGTGGGAAGGGGATGGCGGTGCACTACCCAGTCCTGCCTGGAGGAGAGCTCTGACCTACCCGGCACCTCTGCCCTAATAGAAAGCTTTAGAAAAATAACCATACAAATAAAGTGGCTTAAAAGAGGTATCGACACTCTCTGTAAATTTAAAAAGAGACAGGCCACCAGCACAGGAATTTACAGGACAACTCATCTGGCAGCTGCCATCGTCCTAGAGGGTGATGCTCAGGAGACAAGAAGAGAGCAACTGAAATGACTATCTGCAAGTAAAGGCACCTGGTCTGGAAACAGCATCGAGCTGGTGTTTTGCTTTCACATGGGGTGGGATTGGGGGAGATACTGGTGCTGATGGTTTGTCAGGACTTGCTACACTTACAAGAGCGTTATCCTATATCATGAGATATCTTAATTAGCACTTCCTTTAATCCACAGAAGGGCCTAAGCCTAAATTCATTAGATTGTCTCACACATGTTTAAGAGCTTTTATCGACTAGGAGTGCATTTGTCTCCTCGCTCAGTCCTCTCCCAGTACAGAAACACTTGGCCGCCTAAAAAAATGTCATCGTGATCAACCAAACATCTGTTCTGGTCTAGTCACTTGTGTAAAATTCACCTTTTCAGGCTGAAGGGTCCCAGCCTTCTGCTGAATACCTCAATTAAAAATATAATTAAAAAGTTACAGTCAATCCTTCTAAAAATAAACATAAAGAACTAGAGCATATACAGAAAACAAATAAGGTGGCATTGAAGGCGCCTAGGGCTACAAATTTGCTACCATAGTTTGAGTTTCAATTGTAATGAGTTCCCAGGCCATAGAGTGGACAATAAGACATATTATCCTTCTCCCTCGGTAATGGATGATGGACACTTTTTCCCTTGGGACTGATAAGAAACCTCCTCTGCACCAGCATTTAGAGCCATATTTGCAATTTTGTGACATCACCAGGGAAAAATAAAATGATACAGAGAAGAGTCTTTCGGGTTCTGTGTTCAGATGTAAATATCAGCTAACCAGGTAACTGTGCATCTCTCTGGAGTTGATGCTCAAAACCACGCCTGAGTGATTGCCTACAAAAATATAGAAACAAAAGGCCACCATTAGTGTATCTGAGGCACGTCACAACAAATCCCCCTTTTATTGCAGGGACAAGTCAATCGCATAAAAAGAGTGGCTTTATCAAACAACAGGTCAGGTGAAGGTTGGTGCAACAGCTCCATGTACCTACAACATACTTCCGCGCAAAGCTTTTGCTCATGATGGTGGATTTGTGGCGAATTCCTAGGGTTTCTATCCCGGTGACAGCATAAGTTGTTTCTCTTTGTGGCTTAAAAAGGTGTAGTTGTCTTGAGGGGTGCAGGTGAGGGAGGAGAATGGAACCTGAGGCATCCATTCGACATGACACTGACCTGGGACTGGACACTGACCGGCATCAGCAATAAGGGAACTCTGTAGCTGTTCAAGTTGCCACTTCTCCCAGAAGGAGTCACTGCAAGGTAATGGTGTTGAGGAGTCCCAAGGTGGGGGTTGCGATAAAGTAGGCAACATAAAATATATAGAAAACAAAAGAAGTGGATGGGTGAGTCTGGAAATACTGTACTGTGGAAATTCAAAAGTTATGAGAAGAGAGAGAACAAACAGAAACCCAGGCCTGTAACTCCCTGCTGTGCATGGAGCAGAGGCTGCTACTGACATCTCCCAGCAGGGAGGGAGAAAGCTCACCAGAACTAGAAAGGATCTCCATAGCATAGGGACCTTCTGCAAATAATGACATAAAACTGAATTTAATATAAAGCAGAAATTATAACATGTTTCATACTCTAGCCAGATAAAACAGAGGAGTATCATTAACAGGAATATTTTCTTGGCAGTACTGAGAGATCCTGGAGCTAGTGGAAAGTATTGCAAGTAACAAAACAGTACAGCAAGCAGAAGTATAGTTTTATGTCTTAAATAAAGTCTTGTGAATATAAGCTGTACAGTAGCTGACAAATATGGATGATTATGATCCACAGAAATGAGCTCTATTCTCTGCTGGAAATGCTGCTGGTGTCGACAACCTGGCAAGAGCACAAATCACCTCGAGATCTGCATTTGCTAACTGTCTTAAGTTTCACATCGAAACATCATGATCTTGCACTCTTTAACACTAATAATGCTCTGCCCAGATAGAAGATTTTTTTTTCTCTGAGAAGGAGTATAGGGCAAGTAAAGATTATTTCTGAATGCATTACAAATCAGGGTAATTCTTTATTCCAGCATCCCCAGGTACCTTATATAAATAGGCCATAAGGGATTTTCTACCAGTAAATGAAGTTATGCTTTTGTACATTATTAGAAGTGTTTGAATGCTCCACTTTAATAGGCATGTCTGCAAGGACTTTGTTAGCATTCAGCCTTCTCCTCTAAAGACCCTGGAGATAAGCTGATCAAACAATTTTAATTTAGACTTTGTTTTTCCAGGGTTGTTTCTGGAACTAACTCCGGTAAAGTCAGGAGTGCAATCAAGGTCATCTTGCAAAATCTGAATAAAAACACAGTGATACTCATACACAAAGGTTGTCAAAGAAAAGACAGAAATACACAAAGCAAAGCAGGAGGCTGGATTCTTCCCTTCTGCTCAAAGCTAACACCTTCAAGAACCTGGAAGCTGCACACAGTTCAACAAATGAAAATAAAGACATGGACAACAGACAATAAAAGTGAAACCCAAGATAAAGAAATCTCTCCTCTGCCAAAGGTCTGTCCTTCTCCAGGCTTCCTCTGGTGCAGGTAAAACACGTCTTCCATGGGTTCATGAAGACATTACAGTTGCCTGTGACACCATGAATCTACTGCTACAAATCCCAAAGGCTTTGGGTTATCTGATTTATTTTCACAAAATGTGTAGAAATGAAACAGGGGAGCTTTTTCCATTGTCCTACACTTTTCAAACTGTGACCTGAAAGCAGTCTGCACACAATGGTAAATTTTACAAGAAATGAACTTTATAGATCAGCACTCCGTGTTACATTAAAAATAACCACAGGGTGCCACAGCATATACACTTCCACCTGACACTGATATAATTTGCATGGGGAGATACTCACAGAAAGCTTCCCTCTCGGGTTCCTTACAACCACCCCATGAATACTAGAAAGTTACCAGCTAAATTAGGGAAGACTTAAGATACTTTTAATACAGGAATAAATTTAACATTTCTAATAATGAAAACTTTAAATGCCATTCGAATATGATGGCAAATAGAGCGGTGGATCTAGATACAATCCATCTGAAATAATGGAAACATTGACCCTACAGATCCTTCTGGTCTAAACTTCATCTTCCACTAATTCAGGGGATTACTGAGTTAATTCAACTGTTACCTATTATATCCTGTTTTACTAAATATAATTCCTCTCTGAAATTGTCCAGATAAGTCTCCTGACATTAAACTGTACTATCTCAGTACTCATGCTCTATATAGCATGTAATCCATACATTAGCCTGTATCACAAGCAAGCCAAAAGAAGATAACTGAGATAATCTTTTGTTAGTGGTGTTCTATTTGCTTCTTCCTGAGACTGAGCAGAAAATGAAAAAAAGCTAGAATGAAAAAAAAATCAATTAAAAATAAATGATTTATGAAAATTTTATAAACTAAAAATGAAGTTACCTCTTGCGTTACCTAGTGTTTGAGAGTCCAGATCATCATCAATAAACTCCTCACCCTGGATGATGTTCTGGGTGTCCTCACTATGATTAACAGGGCTTGTCATCTCCTGCTCTTTTTCATTGTGCATCTGGGCATAGACATTTCTGCCTGGCAGTTTCCTAAATTGGAAAAAGAGAAAAAGTCTTGTGATGGAGTTCCTTCATGTCACGCACACTCTGGCATCAGAGCAGAGCTCCAGCAAAGCAAAATCCTCCCAGAATCACAAAACACCACCAATCCCACCCTTCCTTAATTTTCTGTTCACAACTGAAACTTACCAACTCCTTATTCTCAGTCACAGTTTTATGAACCTGCCCTATCACGATGTTCATACCAACGTAATAATTAAGCATTAATTTCTGACTAAGATTGACAGACAATGAACAATACTGAAAAAAAATACTTAAAAACACAGAAAAACTACTTTAAGAACTCAAGCAATAAAAAGGCCGAACAGGCATTCATTCCTGGTTCCAGGTGTCTTCACAAACACTAAGCTGGGTCACAATTATCCTCCGATCACCCTGGTGAATTGGGTGACACTGACAGATGATTGCATTGACAGATACTCTCATACTCCATCAGGGTTGAGGAGAAAGAAGCAGGAGAAATCCAGGAGACAGGGAATGGAAAGTGAGCAGAGAGTGAAGAACCAGGAGGCCAGGACCAAGGGGTAAGGAGTAAGGAGGTAAACAGGCATCAATAAGGGCAAATAAGAAGACAGGGAAGGTTGGTGAAGTTAAGTAGACAGCACTGAAGGAGGCAGAGTGTAAATCTTGGCCCAGGACCACTGGAAACTGCTGAATTAGACAAAACTCTCTATAGCAGACAGCATTTAATTAATTCATTCTGATCTGAACCTAGAAAACAAAAAAGCATGTTATCAAATGGCTCTCTCAGCTCTAATGAGCAATTAGCACCATGGCTGAGAATGGGAGGCTTAAAACTTAGTATTGATAAAGATTAACTTAAATCAAGACTTTGTAAAATCAAAGGGAATCAACAGAGACTTTGAACTTTGCAACAGAATTTATGGTTTAAACATTTAATGAGAGCCATACCCTTGGCTGTAGCTGCATTTGCTTGCAACCTGCCTGGGCACCTAAGGACATTTTTTCCTAGGCACCAAGCAGACACTTCTCATTGGGGAGCTGCAGGTTGTGAGCTCTGTTTTCTACACTGCAAGAAGCAGCTTGACAGCTTGATCAGCATGACAGCAGATCATGGCTGTCAAAGTCTGTGCTTAAACAATGATTATTGCAACAGGCAGACAATGAGAAGAAAAGAGAAAATGGGGTTGAACTGCTGAGGTTAAGCTGCGGTTTCTGCTGAGCTCCTTTAGACAGTGAGAAGACAGAAAAGGTGACACTCATTTTTAGGTATCTCTCTGAAAATGACCATCTTCTGCTCGTTGTTCTGGCAGCAGCTTGAAAGCTGGATAAATACACAGGTTGCTCTGTCTTCTCTAGGCTTTTGAAGGTGACCTATCTTTAAATGCCATTTCAGAAGAAAGGTTCTTCATCAGGTGGCACCACCTTGGTTCGAGATAAAAGTTACTGCAGCAAACTATTTTGAACAGCACCTTGTATTGTATCAAATTAGAATAAACAGAAATTGCTAAACAAGAAAGATGGCTAATGAGGACCTCCTCCCTTTAATTTGAACTATCCAAGAGATAAACTGCATCCTATATACCTATACATGTACACACACATATAAGTACAGGTATTTCTATACACACACACAAAATTATATATATATATACAGAAATCAGGTATTTTATCCCATTATTTATAAGCAGCACAAAGAAATAAATCTGGTTGTTATTGCTCTTTTCTGTATCTCAGTGAGCATGGAGTAAATAAGGCACAGGACTAACCAAATGCAAAGGACAAGGACGGAAAGAAGGTCTGAAAGCACAACGCTGTGCTATGACAACCACTTCAACAGGTCCGAGGGCTCCTCCAACACCAGCATACACATAAAGCCAAGCCTGACATCACTCTCCTCCCATTAACTGAATGAAAAAAAGCCACACTGAAAGGGGGAAGGACATTTCTCATTATCAAAACAAATATAGTAGGTAATTAATTTTGATTTCTTTTTCTAGGGCCAGTAACTCCCTGTTTATAAGACTGTTTTTAATGTGTCTTCTAATGAAACTGGTAATGTGGAAAACATCCCTCTCAATATCCCTCTCAATCAGACCTGCATCAAACCTGTCAAATTGTTCACTTTCAATCCACCGCCAAATGCCTAAGGGAAACAAACCCCAGCAGAATGTCTTTGCAACACATCTGCAGAATTAGCACATATGTTTCTGCAATAATTAGGAGACCTTCTCAAAACTGTATTTCTGACAGATTGTATAAGCATCAGTGGCATTATCAAAATATTTTTGACATAATAAAAGTGCTATCTATCTCAAAACCATATGGCACATCAGTCCTTTGCCGTTAAGTAAGGGGAGCAGAGCTGCTAGTCTAACTGTTGTCTTCCTAGGCTGAAGGACCTCTCTGAAACCAGGTCAGTAAGGTGTGTCTGGTGCAAAACCTGAGGTTTCAACACACATCTCTGGTAAGACTTTCTAGCTAGAGATCACTACAATCACAACACACACTAATATATTAAGGTGTTTCTGAATGAAGAAACCTCACAAGTTCACAAATAACCATATTGTTGTTAAGAGCATTCCTTTATGGGTTATGGATAAAAGGAGAAAAGGTGTAAACAGTTATTTCACACTCACCTAAACCTCATGAGCCAAATCCTGCTAAGTGCAGATCCTTCGTGGAAGGTATAAAGTTGAGGTACGTCAGTGACTCTTATGTACTTTCCTTTGCTACTCACACTTACAGAGGAAAGCATCTTAATTTACAACATGGAGTATGGAAGGGAGGGAGAATATTACAGTCTTGTAAAGGCATACACTATAGGCATTTGACCTTTTATACATTACAGAGATCTTTACGTGTTTCATATTGGTTCAGTTTTACAAGTAAGAGACTCATCAGACTGAAAAAAAATGACAGTCCAAGCCTTTTCAAGAGGCATTTTTAACACATGTGCCAGACATTCTGTTTATCATGGACAACTGCACTGGGGGATGAAACAGGATGTGGATACTGAATCCTTGCTAAACATGGGCCTGATTCTGACAATTTTACAGTCACTCCTCACTGCTCTAATATGTAGGAATGAAGCTGCTACCCTAATTATACAGAGAAAAACCCTTGTGTACCCTGATGTGCTTTGCTCTTCTTAAGGAAGCAATTTATGTTGAGTCCAGTGTAACTGTTTGAAGTAGGCAGAGCCGAAATGCTTGGGTCTACATAAAAGACTACAGTGAAAACATGACAAGACATGAAATTTGACCCAAGAGATCTATATCAGCAATATGAAAATTGAAAGCACATTTTTAAGAACAGAGAAAAAATTATGCAATAGTTTCTTTTGGGGGTTTACTCTTCAGCTGCAAAATGCATGTGCTTTGCATCCATCACTGGAGACAATTACCTCTGCTGAGCAACACTCCATGGTTTACATTTTTGGTTCCTTTTGTTTTCTCTGTAGCATTTTATTTCAATAATGAAGAAGAAGAAATTTTCATGCCTGGTTTGAGGACCATAAAAATATGAACTGAAGACTTAATTCTGCACAGAATAACTGACGAACATCAGAGCACATGGCTTTCACCAACCACTCTGGGTCCCACACCTTTTAGAAGATACTCCAGGAAGTGTTTTTTTCCCCTCCCTATATTCACAAATTCTATTCAGTTCATACCCCAGACTGTTTGCACTTAAAATGTTCAGCAGTAAGGAACAGCAGGAGGGAAATGAGATATTGATTCCCACTCATTTAAACTCTCTAGTTTATTTGGCTTTCAATTCCTTCCTTGTGGAGCCAATATTCATTGGCCTTTATGCAACTTCATTCATCTTCCAGAGGCTTGATTAAGATTCTGTTTAGTATAAAAAATAGGAACATATTCACATGGCAAAGGATATGGAACAATGTAGCATTCTCTTGGAACTTTTATTTTTATACTTTTATTTTATTTTAGTTTTATTTAACTAACAATAATAATAATCCATTAAATAGAATACTTTATTGTGATGTTGGCTTTAATATGTTTGGATTAATGTTCAGATGACTGACTTCTTTGTGCTTTAAGGCACTCCTGATAAACTTGCCTCTTTCATTTCAGAAATCTTTTTTACATGTTATTACTTTGATTTCTGGGGAAGCTTTTATGAAATATTATGGATCATTAAATTAGTGCCTGTTTGCTACAACTAAATGGCATAGACTGGGACTAAACTTGCTCTCATGGAACATAAAAGTAGTATAAGCAAGGTGGGGAAAAAAGATAGCTTTTCTTCAGAGACTGAAAATGAGATAGTAAGTCAATGAGGCAGAAAGATAACAGTTCTGCTCCAGATTGTGGTAACGACCCAGGAGGGGGTTCATTTACAAAAAGTGGCACTTGATAGTAGTGGGAGATAAAAAACCACACAAAATGGCATAAAGTTGGCTGAAATAGATTCATGGCAATTTGTGAAAACAATGTATGCAGCTTTAAATATGGTGGCAGCAGTTTGCATACAAATTAAAAGATGAAGATTTTCACATTCTCTTAAGAGAACTATATTTGCTACTATTAACCAGGTAAAGTACTTAAGCAGAAAAGCCAACTATTTGCTCTAGTTTTGCTACTCTAATGCCCTGTTGCTATACAGAAGTAAAAAATAAGAAAAGAATTATTTCAGATCTTCCACTACCAACATAACGATTACATGGCAGCTTTTATGTGGCTAAAGTATAATTTTCCTTTCCTCCACTTTGCCTAGAGCAGACAGTGCTATTTACCTTCTCTATGCTGTTGCATAGGACCCCACACCATAGAAGCTTGCTCTGAAAGGATGAAGAAATCTTTTATGGATGGCAACTTGAAACCCACAAAAAAATATAAACATTGTTTCAAAGGGAATGGAAGAAGTGTGTTTTTACTGAATCAAATTTAGTAAAGAAGGTATGGTATAGAAACAAATATATGCAGGTCCCAGATCTGCATTAAAAAATAGATCTGATTTCTCAAAAATATTTTCCAGCTGCTTCATGTTGTTCTGGTCAAAAGAAGCAGCTGTAGTCCATTGTATCTGGATGTTTAAACAACTGAAGCATACTAGTGAGTATTGTAACATATTGTTTGCTTGAGGCATCAGATCCGTGATTTCCATACTCAGAATGCAAGAACAAAGAAAAGGCAAATTATTCTTGGCTTGCCCACCATCCATGTTCATTGTCTGCGCTGCCTCTTGTGCCACAGCCACAGTCAGATTTAGCAGCTGGGATATTACCTCTCACTCCTTACTGCCACTGTGAAAATTTCCCCAAAACTATCTAAACCAACCTTTGTTCATTAGTGGGATATGACTAGAATTAGTTTTTAAAACTATCAACATTTATAATTTAAAATTTATTTTTCATTTACTGGATAAAAATAGCCCTAATCTGAATTACCTACCTACTCTGATCACAAAGGATCAAAATTATGCATGTCTCGAGACTTTTCAGCTTTCTGTTTTTTTTTCTCTAAAGCAACTAACCACTTTCAGGATTGCCAGGAGTTGCTGCACAAGCTCTGGGCACTCCAGCACCAGTTTTTCAAGCACATGTTTCTGGGCAGAAGTGGCTGGATGCACAAATAGGCAATCAGATAAAGTGGGGGAGGCAGGGGGGCGGGGAGGATGGGGAGATGAAATGATAAATGCTTGCAATTTTACTGTATATAAGAACAGAGGTCAGCAGTCATCTTAGTCAGTGTTTAAGTATTTGGGATTAGGGTATATTGAAAATTATGTAACCCGCAGTCACCTAATCATTAACTAGACAGCCATGACAGCTCTGATTATCCAGCAGACCCTACATTTTTAGTTCTGATTAGAGTGGTGGGAAGTAATACAATTTTAATCTTTTCTTTTTATATGACATTCCTTAAGGAGTGATGAGACTGTGTTGGTTTTTACTACACATATAGCTAATCAGCCAAAATCCCACTACCTCTATATGATTTTGCCTCTGTTCTTCCCCTACCCCCTACTTAATTAGCTAAAATACTCTGTTCATTTTCCTCATATAAGAAATCTGACACAGAATCTTATAGGACTGTTATTTTTAGATTACTGGTCTGCGTCAAACTAATTTTGTGAGATTTACTTTTTGCAAGGGACACCAGCTTTTAGCTCTGGGTATTGCAGTTTTCAAAAACTGTCAGATCAAACAGGAGCAAGCAAGTTTCATCATAGCTGCCCTGATTGCCCTGAAAGATTCATGAAAAAAAGAGATATTAGATTAGTCCCTGGTGTCTTGTCAACAACATCTTTCATCTTGCATTCCTTCCTGACAAAAATGAGTGTAAATTAAGATCAGAGTTCTTACGACGTGAATTTCAGAGATAATCCAGGCAGGGAGAGCAGTGACCACACCTGGGGACAAGGTGCCTCAGCACTCAGAAACCATCAGGCAGTTTGGACAGGTTTCTCCATTTTCTATGGAAGCTGTACTACAGCCTACACAGAAGTTCACTATTTTGTCTTTACGTTTCATCACAAGTCCTGAACAGTGCATCTGCTCATTGCAAATGGATGAAATGCTCTCATGTATGAAGCTGTAACCTCCCTGCCAATTCAGTCACCACCTGCAAGCCAGGCTTTTCACCTTGCATCTTTCAGGGTACCAAATTTACCCTTAAGTAAAGAACTGTCCCTCGGGCCAGCAAAGACAGAGAGAGAGAATAGTCCAAGGTGTGTCCATGCAATCTCCCCATCAAACCTGCTTTGCTTGTGCCCTGATGACAACTGCAATTCCTACAGACCCAATCAGTGTAGTGATAATACTAAGATTAATAAACCTTTGTCTGATCCAGGGAGGAAAAGGAGTTTTAACCCTTTTCTGAAGGGAATATCTATCAACTTACATCAATGAAAGGAAAGCACCACCAAATGTCTTCCATCTCTGCCTTAATTTTGTGAATTGTACATAAAAATTATAGACAGTATTAACATTTCAACATTTTATATATGTCTGTACTTTCTATGTGAAAATAATCCATATTTATATTTGCATGTGTTTTCTGAGTTACCATAGCGCCCATAAAGTGTTCTTCTACTGAAATGACCTCCTAAAATTGAACAACTTTTGTTGCCTATGGCATTCTTTCAGCAAATTAATTTTTAATAAACAGGCACACAATATTGACAAACAACCTTTGTGCATTACAACCTGTAATCTTTATAAAGGACACTCAGTCTCTATGGACCAGTTTGTAAACTTACATACTCACTGTACTGACTTTAAAGGGGCTATACTTGCAAGTAAATACTCCATGGGGATCCAGGTATTCATCATCTGCCTTTACAAACACAGTAAAGACTTTTTTTAAGGGATTAAAGATTTGGGTGGGGGAGGAGTTCATGGGGAGCACACAGGGAAAAAGTGATTTTTCAAACCTAGCACCAATTAGGCACTCAATATTCCTTGAAGATCAAATTGCAAATGAAGGATGCAACTAAAATAGACTGTCATCTTAGAAAAGCTAAGCAGGATTCTCTCAAATACCTCAGAAACAGATATGATATGATATATGATACGAAATGATATGATATGGACTAAAATTGAATACTACTACATGGTCCTTTATCAATGCCAATAGCAGTTTTCAGGCTACTGAGAAACATCTGAATATATCTCAGAATTCTCCTCACTTGCACCTAAATTAAAACCCCACAAAATTTAAATGCAAATTATTTTCACCATTTATATATAGAAGTATGCGAGACATTAAGGCTTGTAATTTGCAAATTGTACTATATTTTCCTCCTTAATAAAAGCTCTATTTATAAAGCAATGGTTCATTGGGCATTTTAGAAAGAACTCAAGGAAAATAATTTTTTCTTCCTTTCTTGAATATTTTATACTTCTTTTGCCATACAGTAATTGTGTCTGTTATTTAATTGCTCTCATTTAAGAGCTAATAAAAGATATAAATCATACAGCTTTCAAAAGATATCACAAGAAAGCTTTATGATCCCACACTACAAATAGCAAATCCTCCACGTATTGCTACTGAAATAATATAATTACATCACATCAACCATTTTTATGCTTCTCCTTGCTGCAGGCACCTAAAATAGTGAAATGGATTTTTATTCAGTTGTAGACAGTCTGATACAGTATTCTGTGCTTTGTCCTTTAGAGCAACCAGCCACTATGAGCTCTAAGAAACTTAGGTGCTGCAGAAAAATGAGAGATTCTTGGAAAAACAAGGGGTTTTCTCTATTGACTTAAATTTTTTTTTCTAAACAAACTCTATTTAAACCCTACCTATGCTTAATGCTGTCACAAACTCAGTGCTGCACCCATTTCTACAAACTTACTTTGATTTCAAATAAAAAGCAATCTTTAAAGAATGAGCCAAATCAATAAGAACCCTCACTGAGTAAGGACATCAGGATTTGATGATGATGAAAGCTTGTTCCCAGTATGCTCAAACCCAGTAGCTTCTAACTGCCCCAGAGATACAAAAATAACAAGAGCACAGTCAATGATTACCCAAATTGTCAACAAGAACAAAATTATTTAAATTGTACAGCACCCTAATAGATACAATTAAAATAAACTGCAGACTCAAAAAAAAAAAAAAGACCTATCATACCGTCAAAGGCTGGCATGGTATCCCTTGTCAATTTTGAGAACATACCTCTCATAAAGGACACTTTCAGAATTATTTCTCCTCTCAACACACTTTAGTGTCAAATTAACACTAATCTATTTCTATCACTCATTCTATGTGGCATTGTTCAAGCAATTAAAATGTAATGTGTGCAAAGAGAAACTCCAGAGAACTACATGTTTCGATAAAACCTATTTTTTTTAAGCAAAACAGCACTGCAGACTAACTCGTTATCCCAAAAGCTTTAGTTTATTCATAACTGCTAGGAGCAATGAGGTAGGAATTCATCAGGAATATTTTAGCTCAGCTCGCTTTCTTGATTATATTATTTAGACAAGCTGAACAAACTCTCCACAGTTTCCATATTCTGCTATTTATCTTGTAAAAGAAAGCAAGCATCAGCCCAGTACCTTAACGTCTAAAGAGTTCAGAAAAATACAATTTTCAAAGCAGTGGACTTTTTGCAGTTCTTCAAGGTATCTCCTTTTCAAATAACAAACTCTGTGTTGCTGATCTATGGATAAATCTAGTCCTTAAAATGTATATGTTGTTGATTAAGGTTTACTTGCCTTTTGAACTTGTAGAGGATGAAAGCCCCAACTGCGACTAGACAAATAACAAAGAGAACCACAATAGCCCAGTAGCCACCACCTCCTCCAATCCTCTGAGAGTCTGAAATATGAAATAAAAGAACAGTTTAGTACATCCTCTTTCAGTTCAGTCACATTCTTAGGGGGTTTTTTCTATGTAATTGTCAGGTCAAAAACATTTTTTTTTTTTGTTATTTCTGTAACCTCTTCTTTTCACTCCATTTGTAGCCTCTTCAAAAAGGCAACCACACAAAATTAAGTGGTGACTTGTGACTGAAGGACAGAGGACCAATTAAAACAAAAACAAAACCCTGAAGACTGAATTATTTGCATACTCACTGGGTTTTTTTTTTCCGGGAATCTAAAGTTATCACAGCAAATTCTCACACACCCTAAGTATATGTGTTGCAAAAGCAGGGCTGTATTAATTTCACAGATGGAGAAACTAATGCTCTGAACAACAAATGAACTCATCAAGGTCATACACTGGTAAAGGCTGGAATGAACATGGGCTTCTTTCAATCCCAGCCTTCTGTGCTGGCTAACAAATGCTAGCCCTGTAAACCAGATGAGATACTGCAGCAAAACTGTAGCACAATTCTACATTACAGGCCAGATAAAAGAGCTTTGTCTTCTACAGAGAGATGACAGCTAAAATATGGTAGTAGTATTTACATAAATGGATTGTGGTCAGCTAAGCTTTTCTCCAACAACACAATGAAATAAGAAAGAAGGATATATTATGGTACAATACACAAACAAAAACTACAGGACATTCTAATACAAGGCTCATGTCAAAGGCGAACTTTCTGGTCAAAACATTTTAACTTATCAGTGTTCAAAATACACACACAAGTATGCAGACAGACTTTCTTCAACCAGTTTCCAGGTACATAGTGAACCCAGAGATGCAGGAAATGCATGCAAAAAGCTGTTTCCATTTGTTTCAAACACAGAAAAAGGATATAATTTATCTCTGGACAGGATTAACAATGCAGAGACCCTACAGCAAGCTCCACACCAGTTGAGTTGAAGATCAGAGATACAAGGCAGACATGCAAGGCTATGTCCCAGACCCCTGGAGTTATATCTGCAGAGTTAATAGCTGAAGTAAAGAAACTGTTTTCTCAGCAACCAGTGCAGCCAAACTGCTTCACCAAGTAGGTTTTTTTGAAGCCTCGTTGGCTCTTCCTTCAGGGCACTCTTTTGTATAATGTAGGTATTTAGTTAACGTCATGGTTGCACAGAAAAAAGCAAGAACCTTCTGAAACAAATCATGAGGCATGACAAAATGGAAATATGTAAGAAATATTTATTTGGTGGTGATTGTTAACAAGTGCCAAATCAAAATATACCCATATATACATGCATGCGTGTATGTGTATGTATATATTTACATACATACACATATATACACATATATATTTATGTGTGTATCTATATGTAACAAGTACCCAATAAGTTTATATGTATGTGTGTACATATACACATCTACAGTGATATGAAGATTTTCTCAACTTATCAGAATTCAAACAGGCATCCAAAGGTTGGTCTGTTGGAAGCTTTGCTTATATATTTACCTGAACTGGAGTCAGCTAAAGTCACTAAGACCCAGTATCCTCCCCTCAGAAAGAAACTGATGTTGTGTGCATTCAAGGCCTGCTTTATAGCCGCTATTCTCTGAAAATACAACAGAAAGAATGTCAGACGTCTCGCGCTCAGTTCCGCTTGGAGAGACTCAATGCTCTAAAAAGGAAAACCTCTGGTTCATTAAATGGTGAGAAACTCAGACAGCATTTGTCAGCGATGACCTGAAATCTTAAAGAAATTCCATATTTAAAAATCATGCAAAACTCCACAAGCCATAAAAGCTGAAAATGTCAAATCTTTATAGCCAAATCTTTCTTTCTGCTTACTAAAGCCTTTAAGTTTACCCAGTATGTGACAGATAGCCTGTCATTTGCATGCGCTATTTGGTTTACCTTGGTCATAACTCACTTAATACATAATCCATATTAAAAACTCTCCATCCTTCTAGCCTATCAGAAGAAAACCAGCAATGTCGTTTTACATTTCTTGCTATGAAAAGTAACTGCTATTTGATCATGAACTGCATGTCATAATTTACCTCATCTCCTTACCTATAATGGGATGGATTCCATTTATACCTCATTTCTAACAATACTCTGTAGAAATATATACATCCATCCATGTGGAAAAAATCAGGATTTCTCCTATTTTTCCTCAGTGGATAGAGCACAGTAAAATATGGTCTTTCACATTTTTATGGAGCAGAACCATTAAATATACCATCATATCCTAACCCCAGAAGACAAATTGTCTGAAGCTTCCCTTCTACTTGCTTGTGTCTTCAACATGGGTAATTTTCTAAAAGATCAAAGCTAGTTTTATACTCTATATCTTATAATTTAGGACACGACTTCCCACAGGATGCCAAATTAGAAATATGCTTTATATCCATGAAACCTTCATGAGTAACTCCTTTTATGATATTATCAATTACAGTGCTCATCTTTGAACAAGCCTTTGCAGTATAATAGATACAAATCTCTGTAGTCTCTCTCATGTTATGGACAGAGACCACACAAAAGTTCAAATTCAAATATTCCTCATATTGAGGAATATCTAGCTTCTGAACCCATTCCACTGACTTTATTACTTTTTTGTTGGGGAATGACTCAACACAATGGTGAGGTGAGCATGGCTTCAGTTATTTTACAAGACAATTACTCCAGATAGCTCCTAAGTATTTATCTTTTTTGCCCGACATCTGAAAAGAGAATGGATATGACAACTATATTGATTAGCAGCCTTTGAAGTGATGCTGGCACCACTGAAATAGAGTTACTTAGTCTCAGTCCAGGTTCATTCACATGTTCATGGTGTACAATGCAAGTGGGACCAGTACTTTAAGCTAATCGGACTTTCAACCAATAAATGAAATTGCTGAGCCCCATAACTTTGGATACATTTTATTTTCCTGTCAGATGTTTGAGGAATCCATCACTTGCTCTGGTTTCTGCTTAAGTCTCTAACAACTGTTCGTTATTTCTCTCCCCATCCCTGAGTTCCCAGCCAAGCCTATATGAACTACAATTCCACAGGTCAAAAATGTGAATCTCATGTGAATCCAGCCAAAGGTTCTGGCTTATTTATTTCACTGTTAGACTGATGCTTGCTTCAGTACTCATGGGGTTTTTTTCTGCCCCGAGGTATCTGTCAAGCACAGTGCCGCCATCTTTCCAACTTCTCAACAAAAAAATACGGTGTTTGGAGCTCTTCCCTAAACTCTCTAAGTTAAGGTTCCTATACTAGCATTTGAATTTTCTGTCTTTTTCTACATCTTCTCCAATGACAATATTTGAACATGTGAACACAATGGCTCCTGCACTGAGGTATAAGAATGCAAAAATAATGACACCATTCAAACTCTTACCCACTTACTTATGCATCTGGGAGTCTGACTTGCCCTTTTTGTTAAAGCAGCTCTCTGGGAATTCTCATTTAGTAGTTTGTCTAGATAGAGTCCCAAATGCACTTTAATTGACTCTTTCAACTGGACTCATCCCATCTTTCAACTGGACTCATCCCATCTGACATCAGATATGTAATAGAGATGCATAAATTACGCGACCAAGTCTTCCTCTAGAGTCAATGACTAGAATTAAATACTTTTGAAATAACTATGTTCTTAAAACCAGGTCAAATCACACTCAACTTTTATTTCTACATGCACAAATTAGAAAGAGAAAGGGCTTTCAACAGAATGGAAGCAAACTTCAGAATTATCCAAAGGGCTCCTGCTACTACACTGCCAACTTACTTATGACCTTCGCCATTGCTGGCTACTTTTATCAGTAATGACTCCTATTCCAGATCACTAACTTCATAAATAGCACCACATCACAACACTATGTAAAACACCAATAGAAACTCCACCAAGTAGGTGTTCTTGCCTGACCAAGAAAATACTGCCTTCAACAATCCTTCTGAAATCACTTAATAAACCAAATCTAAAAGGTTTTCAGCCAAGAAGAAACAGGTTCTCTTTAAGGGAAGACATTTCATAACTATGTCTAAGTTAAGGATTTCAGGGACATCTCCTCCAAATGTGCAGAAAGCATTCTGCATTGGTGAGTTCACACAACAGTGTCACAACACTGACTTTGAGAACTGGCACAAGCAGCATGACAAAGCACATCCTTCCAGTGATACATGATGACAACCTTCAAGATTCTCTTCTGGTAACAGAAGATTACAAATCTTTAAACAAGTGACATCATGAGTATTTTCCTGTTCACTTAACCAGTTACTGCTTCCAAGTTTATTTACATAGGGTATATTTTCAGGATATTTCTCAAGTCACAGTGGATTCTGATACAAAACATTTTATCAAAATTTGTGCCATTCAATTCTAAATTAACAAATTTATATGCACATATCAATAGCTAAAGTACTGTCCCTTAGCAATAATATGCTCTACAGCATTGTACTCAGTAAAGCAATCAGTGTTGAAATGTGATACCAGTGATACCTGAATTTTTACCATTGGACAGCATAGGTTGCTGTAATTGCTCATCTCCCTTTGTTCCTGCTCCAAACAAATGTAGGCTGTACCATATTTGGTATTTCCATACATGTAATCCCCAGCCACCACTATTCTGACCTAGTCCATCCTAACAATGTCAGAAATGTACATCTATTCTCCAGATTATACAATTACTTTCACCTTTCAGTGCTCCTCTAGTTTCAGAAAACCTTTGCAAGGTCTTACCAGAGGACTACTTGTTACAGAATCTGTGCCCTGCTAAACTACTGTAATTTCCCCATAGCCCCACTGAAGAGAAATTTTCCCAAATCATTTGCAACACATGATTGTTCTTCTTTAGAACATAACTCACAGGTTATTTAATACACAAACATTAAAAACTTTGAGACAGAATTGATTATAATTTATTATATTCTTTAAGCTGCCTTGAAGCACAGCGCTAATATAACAGTTGAGATTTAAAGGGAACTAGTATGCATAACACTTTGCACTGAAATTAAATGTTTGCACAACCTATGAATCCATCACCATCAGTTCCCTTAAATTATTAAAGATGTCCATTCCATATATGCCTAGAATAAAGAGAAAGAATTTCTTTTAGAAGCTGCACCTTGCTTTTTAAGAAGTGGAAAGACGTAAACAATTTTGAAGTGGTAATACTCACCTGGCTGAAGGCTATAGCTCATTAATGGCTTTCTACCAAAGAAACAACCTGTTAAAATTAACTGTTTCCTGCAACATAATCAGGATTTCAGACTCCCAAGAATTCCCACTGTGATTACAGAGGGAGAGCAGTAAGGGTTTGGGGTTGCCACAAAGCAGAAAAAATTGTGCATTCACACCACACTCTGTGCATTTTAAAGTAAGATGCCTGTTCAAGCACTTCGACAACATGGTCCTTTGGACCTCCCAAAGTGCACCACATCAGTTCCAAACACAATCTACTGGTTTTGTGTCAATATGCAGAGCTGCATCTTACCTACTTCTCCAGCTCTTCTAATACAGTGAATTTGTCTTAAAAAGTTGTAAAATGCCTTTCAAAATGAACAATACCTTACACTGGGATTCTTTGGAACTGGCAGGACTTGAACTGCAAGATACAGGCACAGTGCTGGGATCTGTTCCTTCTCTATTGCAGCAAAAGGACAAATATCATAAATTGTAAGTGCCAGTCTTTTGATTTTCAGTTGGCCTAAGGTCTTTTATTATGGAATAAATATGATTTGGAAGTAAGTAGGGAGAAACTAATGTCTGTTTTTCATTCCTGTGTTCACTGTATTTGTTTCTTGCCAGCTGAAAAGGACACTTGGTCCTAAAGGCAGAAACTACCTGCTTGATGCTCTCTACATTATAGGTCAACATTTAAGGTTATGTTTCTCTTTGACCTGAAACCTAATTTGCTTCTAAAGGCAGCGCAGAGATGGTTTGTCCCTCTTTAGAAATATCAGTGTTCTAAACACAGACTTTGCTCTACCAGATCTGCACAGACTAACATGCCACCACTGTCGTTTCTGTTTAAAAAATGGACTGATATTAGTTATTCTTGAGAAATACACTAATGCCAGAAAGCACTAGAATATCCTGGGCTGTACACTGTCAAACACTGCAGTCATAGCCATTGCTAGCTTTTACATGTCTCTTCTCAGCCGGGAGTGAGATCTTTACACAGTGAGGGAGCACCTTTCAGTTTCCCATAAAGACAATGAGAGTACAGCCACTGATTGCAAAACAGGATGGTCCTAACCAGCCATACATTGCTCTGGTTACCTTATCACTAGTTACACTTCTCTTCCTCTTTGGCTGGTTTGCTGGTAGTAGCACATGCAAGTCAGCAGTTGTGGGGAGACCAGGCTTCACGACTGTCATGAGCGTTTCTTCAGGTATATTGGTTTCCTGTGAAGACAAAGGCATATGGCAAATTATAGGACAGCGTGCTTCATGTTCTATAGAAAAACATAAATAACTCCACATATGTCTTTTAGTCTTTGGTGTTCAGATCCTTAACATTCAGAGGGGATTCCACCAGAAGCTAAAACATCAATAAAACCAAACATAAATTAACGGAAATGTGAGCTGCTCTTTGAAGATTGGAAGAGCTAAGCATTGTTATCGCATTAATGAGATTTAGTGGCATCACAGAAAGAAGCAAAATGAAGTGGTATGCAGTTTTAGCAAAACTCTGCAATGGCAGTGCATTTCTAGGGTAACATTAAAAAAAAATCCTAAGTGATTTAGTATCCTTTGTGGGATATTCAGACACTTAGTAGACTGAGAAGGGCATACTTATTACACCTAATTTTAGCTTAGGGAGGCTATTTTCCCATCTGTGTTTAATGGACAGAGAAAAGTCTTCCAGGTGAGAGTAAGAGCACCTAGGTTCAATTCCTGAAATTGTTATGAATACCTGTAGCCACCAGTGAAAGTCAAGTGTATTCCTTTTCAAAATAGTTCATGTAAATTCTGCTTTTAGTCCCAAATTCCTCCATGTGTTGTATAATACAGACACACAATTCTAATTATAACACCCCGGGCACTTCCCATAGCCTTCCTTTCTCAAACAGATTCCGAAATTCCATTACATTTTTCATATTCTTTTGCAAATTATTTAATAACTACTAAAATGCAAGGGCAATTTTATAAGGGATTAAAACATTTGTTTTACTGACACTAGTTATGGAATGGGTTTAAGCTGAGAAAAGTGGGAATTTACTTTAATTTGATGTTTAATGTGAACCTCAAAAACAAAAGCAGGAGAAACTATAAAGTAAAAACTCTAGAACCTGATTTGCACTAAATCCAGGAAAAGCCAAGTGATTTCATACACAAGCATTTTCAAAACATTATCAACTTCCACCTCAGTGCTACTGTCCCCACAAAAAGTCCATGTGTGCTCACTCAGTTGCTGGCTGTGTGTGCACCTGAAGAGCACAGCTCTAGAGCTCACAGTTTTTATGGGGTGCTTTTACTTATCTCACAGAACTGTTGCATGGCTTTGTACTTGATTTAACCTACAAGATTCAACTGCTCCCAATTCACATTTCTGTTGCAAATATGATCTAAAAAACCAGCTGTACGAACTGTTTGCCTACATACTATATATAATTTTCAAAGTTACAAGAATGATATTGTAAATATTTTCTTTCTGCTTTGTTTTTCCATTAAACCTATGCCTTTTATATTACACAGCACCCTTTGCTTAACTTCTAAATATATCACATTTAAGCTACTCTTCCTGGTCTGGAGTCAGCAGTATTTGCCAATACAATACAATCTATCCCTAATCCCATTAAGTGCCAATTAGGCTGCATTAGACCCAGATCTTCTACGTTACAATATCATCATCTACAGCCTGCACACAGCAGTGACACTAGACTCAAACTTCTTTGAAATGTGGCTCAGGAGGTTCCCTTTATTATTTTGCTCTGCCTCCTTTCTTCTAAATGAGAAGGCATTAACTTAACCTTCAAGCTTTATGAGTGGCAAGGGAATATTTTGTGAGCAATCTGAAAGAGCACCTTTGCAAGAAGTCGTGTTACTACCCGCCCTATGTCTTCCCTCCACTCCGGTATGTCGGGGTTGTACATGTCCAGGTGCTTAGTAAACTTCAGAGGAAGAACATGAAAATGATCTGGAAAATAAAAAAGAAACATTTTTTAACAAGTAATAAACGAAGCTGCAAGACCAATTTTGCAGAAATAAAAGCTGCAAATATACATTTGGCATTATTTGTTATGCAGTGCTGCAGCATCTAGGAATACTGCTCTATGTTGTGTTGTTTTGCACGGAGCAAGAGGACACTCCTGCCAGGCACTCAATTTCTTTCTGTATTTTTGTCAACATCATCAAATTTGAGCCTAAAGATAAAAAGGCAGGAAGAAAAAAAATTAACTAAGCAGATTTACATACATGCTCTGGGGTCATAGCCTTCCCAATAATTCTTCCTTAGGACAATGCATAACACAGACATGGTTGGTTTCTATTATTTGTAATGGGAATGCGCCAATGGATTTTATTCTCACTGTATCATAAACATGTGGGTTTTGCCCATTGCATGTTCCTATTTTTCATGTAGAATGAATAATTTATGCATTCCATCAACTAGCTATGAAAAGAAAAACAGAAATGATATACTAAAGGCTAACTAATGCCCTCTTCAAAAAAAAAAGAAAAACAAAACAAAACAAACAACAAGGTACACACACAACATTTCTCTGGATATTGTCCAAAATAGCTGAAACACCAGAAATGGGTTGGTCCTCAGTAAACAGTCTCTAAAATATTTCCTTTCTCCATATAGGCTCCTTGGATGAACATCTGGGGAGTTTAATGCAAAGCAGAGAAAGAGATCCTCTGGAATGCATGAGTCAAACCTGGTCCCCCCCAATGCTTCTGACAGAATTGTGCTTTCATGTAGTTTTCTTTTCCAGAGGTTTTTTTTTTATTTCCCCCATGACCAGTACTTTCTTGCATTTGGTATCAGGATTGGCCAACACTAAAAGCAGAAGCAGAGTTTGAAAGCCAGAAGCTGTTGATCTAGTCACACTAGCTCAGGTTATACTTCTAAAGATTTCTTAAAAAGTGGATGCACTTGTAAGGGGTGGCATAAACTTTAAATTAATTTATCTCAGGAAAGGAGAAGATTCATAAACGCTGCATTTAGCCTGAGTGTGTTTTTTCCCATAATTTAAAATTAATAAGTATACTAAATGCAAAAATAACAGAATCTTCTTCAGACAATAGAGATGTCTCATGCTGTGTGTTTCATGATATCTGAAGGCTTTTAGCTCTGCATTAAAAGAAGCTTTTTCACTTATCACAATTCCCACATGTGACAAATACACAAATACAAATGTAAATAATTCATCAGCACTATGTTTTCACGGTATATTATGCCTTGTCACTACATTATAAGACACAACAGAACACTCCAGGGCACAATGTGAAACAAGTGCTGAAGGGTTATTCAATAATTACAGCAGAGCTATACTTGATCCAAACTCTCAGATTAACATCAAAGGAACAGTGATATCTTGCAATAAAAGGCAAATATTTCACATTGTTTCATATTGTTTTTAATGCTGAGAGTATATACACAACTAAATTTTATTTTTCTCATAGTTGTTTAAACGACTTCATTTAGAAATTCTAAGAAACTCTCTAGTCATAGGCCAACATGCTACTTAAACATTTCTGCTACACATAGCTTTTGGGAACCACAGTAACATTCAAAATACCAAAGGAAACGAAATGGTTCAGATTAAACCCTTCCATACAATCACACTGTTTAACTTCATGAAGTTACCTAGTGACAGCTCATCCCTCTAATTTTAACAATTAAATGTGACATTAGATGTAATTTTACGATAGGTTCATGCGTCAGGGTTGGTTGAAGAGGTATAAGAAACAAGTACAAATTAAACTAAAAAAAAAAAAAATCAACAAGAGTAATGTCTTACCAAAAATATGGACAACTTTTGAGTCCTGAAGCATGGAGCTCCCACAGGAAGCCTGCACTGTAACTCTGATGTCACCTGTGTCAGCAAACTTTGTCACCAGAAAATTGTCCAATGTAAGAAGTGGCTTTAAAAAAAAAAGAAAAATTGAAAATAGAATTTAATTAAGAACCACAGGAACAGTATCTGAAGAGACTGTCACTAAAAGTATTAGCAAAAAAAGTTTTGAATCAATTATTCAATTCATCAACATTTTATAAAATAGTTCAGTTACAATTTTCAGTAGAGGATGTTTCTTTCCCAAATAGAATGTTTATAAACAGAATTTCTGCCAGATGGGCCAAACATTGACTTTAGAATCATTGGTAGAGTACTAGGTTTTCATTCATCCCCCACTGAAATAAACAGATTTTGAGTCAGGCTCATGAATCTCTGCAAGATCATATACACCAAGCCATTCACCTCAAAAAACATGGAGTACAGTCAAGGTCAAAAGGATTAATTCTGTCAATTTAGAGCATGACCCATGGAAGTGCGCCAGCCCACTGTAACCTCCAAGGCAAAACTGAAATACTCTGTTCCCTGACCACAGCTGTATGAATTATAAAACCCTTCACAAGACTGCATCGATCTGCAGTGCCTGTTCTAGCAACTGCGAAGTCAATAATAATGAAAAGATACAGCCTGGGATTATGGTAGACAGCACATTTACAAGAAGTTCATTGTGCTTATCTGAAGCATTCCTCTGTCATACTTAGTCTTCCTCATAAAGAAAGTATTTTACTTATCTGTTATTGAAAGAATTACCTTAAAAGAAATTAACCCAGATAGACAAGAAATATTCCCAATAGAAATACTTGGATATTTATTGCTCTATGATATGTTTATCTAGACTTTCTATCCCCAAATGAATATCACTAGATTATTTGAGTGCTTTCACTGTTTTGATATCCTTTGAGATATTCCCATTATTTTTGATACACCAGTTTTTTTAGACTCCCTGAAAATATTTATCTATAGAATTAATATATATATGTGTACAGCACTTAAATTTACAGTACTCACATTATCAACATGGAAATGCATGAATCCAATTTCATCATTCACCAATGCTATGATCCCAAACGCAACCCCCTCCACAAGTTTTTTTTCCAGAGGTAATGAAATAGAATAAATTGTTGTTCCCTCAAGAAGAAAATGGTTTAGAAATTCAAACCAATTCTAGAAGAGAAATTTGCATCTCCACATAAGTAACAGTAAAGGGAAATTAACACCTTAAATTTATGTGATAAAACAAGGGAAGTTAGATCCCTCTTGCCTCCAGATATAACTGACTGTTTGGAATGCAAGATGATCTAAAAGAAGTAATGCAACATGATAGTATTTCTAGTAAAGTAAAAGGTGTCACTCAACCTTTATTGGAAAGAAATTGAAAATAATATCAGTCAAAACCATTCATGTACCTGAAGATTGTTTCCTATCCACCAGTAGAAGACTGTCAAATTAGGGTTCTTAGGCAGTATGATGGCTGTTAGATTCACCTCCTGGTTTCTCCCAACAACTGGAACCACTTCTAAATTTAAAGCCTGCAGTGGAGCTAAAAAAAGTTCCCAAAATATAATTGAACAAGAATCCATCAATTTATTAATACCTTTTTGCCCCAAAGCCTCTCACTCCCTCCTGCTTTTATATCTGTGTTTAAAGCTGCGGGCATAATTGGAAGAATTTCAACCAACATTTCAACCAAAAAATATCCCCAAAAACCCACAAACAAAATCCTAGAGCAATATGACAGGTCACCAAAATGCACCTCTCTCATGCACTTTTTTTGATGCAAGTTCAATTCTAGAAAACATAAGCAAATATCCCAGTTAAAAAGTGGAAAAGTCAATCTCAGCTTTTTTTTTTTTTTTTTTTTTTAACTGATAAAAGAACAAATGAACAGAAATCTAAGAAATCTCAAACCGCTAAGGGAAAAGCAGGAAACTGAAAACCAATACTGCTGACTACTCATTTTCATTGTAAAATATCAGCTGTTAGGCTCACACCACACATAAGCTCTCATTAACGCATGCTTTAAAACAGATGTGTATATCAGGGGAGCATTTACTTGCAACTCGAAATAGATAACCTCTATACTCCAAATATGCTTTTAGAATACATTTCTTCCTTTCTGAACTTTTGCCAATGAAGGCTGTGAGCATTATTACTTATATAAAAGAAATGCATCTTTACAATGATTTTATCTCCTTAATGCTGTATTTTGCTTCATAGTACAATAACTTTATTTAAAAAATCTTTCCCTCGCAGGTTTCCAAATACATCTTTTTCAGAATATCTGAAGGTAAAAGCTTTATAATAGTATGATGTGATGACCAGAATTTCTTAACTTCAGCTGCACCATCTATCCAGGATACCAAACTCCTGTATGGTCCAACACGCATTCATTACACAGAATGAACACTAACCCATCCATTTTTGTTCTAAGTATCTTTTAACTCATTCAAAGGTCTTTCATCTCAGTTCAAACTTAAAGGTAATTAACACCAGTCCAAAGCCTTTCTCTTAGTCTATTTCATAAATGGAATCATTGCCCATTCACTTCTAATTCACTTTGACGAAACTGATTGAAATTCTCTGAGAGCAAGTTGTCCAAGCCATGCACACCCTCTGTCTACCTCACTTTGACCAGCCTGTGTGCTGCTTCATCCAAATATAAGGCTCTACATCCATTCTGCATTTTCTCCTATGACTCTTTAACCACCTATGTGAACTCAAGACATGTTTGGTGCTTGAACAAATGGTTTCTTCAACAGCTTCTTTAATGAAACAGAGTTACAATACTCCTCCTCTTGCTTGTCTTGAGGATGTCTTGAGGAAAATTCTGAAATTGTAGGAATTCCATAAAATCTGTTCCTCCTAGAAATAGATTTTTCTCCTGATGAGGTAAACCGAAAAGTGCGGAGGGATCTGTGACATTGTGTTATTTTGCCAAAATTTACATTTTCCCAGAGGAGACTGATCATTCTGAGATATGGTTTTGCTCCTGAAGAAGGTTACTTTCTTTTCCAGAATTTTTAGAGGGGAAGTTGTTTGGTACTTGAATGATGACTGTTATTTCAATTTTGTCATTCCTATACATTAAAGAGCTAAAAACAATTATTGTGAGTCCTTCTGCTTGTCTCAGTCACACAATTCCATTATGCACTTGAACAAGCTTCACAGCACCCTTAAGTGTATAGAATTAGGAATGAAGTTGACTTATACAATTTCCATTTAATGAAGCTACAACGTCAGTGTGGTTCTCAAAGCTCCCTCATTATTCACACACTATACAGATTATGGTTTCCTGAAAAAGAAAGTATGCCTAGTTCTTCTTCAATTCTTTTTATTCTGGTTTATTTACTCACATTTATACTATCAGCCTTGCTCTAATTTCTCTTACAGTTTATTAACAAGTTGAAGATTGTGTGATCTGGATCAGAAATCACAATCTGGATGACAGGCCAAAGTTCATGTAATTGTCCTGCATTACAGGGCATCCCATAGCAACACAACTTGGCAGGAGTAAAAAATATTTCCTTTACCATGTGTTCCTGAAAAAATTCCCTGAGAATTCATCAGCTGGAGACAGAGTGAAAGCAGGACTCTATGGACATTTCTGCTTTCATGATACTCCACAGTGAAAAATGTCCCTGTATGGCTATTAGCATATCTCTAGAACATAGAAATAGCAGTTTAATTAGTGCCAGCTAATTTCCCCAAATCTTGTAATTGACTTAAAAAATTAAACAGAGTAAATCACAGAGAAAGCATTTATCGAAGCAGGCTGGGGAACATGCTTCCCTGAGTCTTCGAGACCATGTGCAGCATCCACAGACAAGCTCAGGAATGGTCCATGTCTGCTTCAGTGCTCTGCTGCCTCTGCGCTTCAGTACCAGAGTCCTCTTAGTGCACCAGTTGTTTTGCTTGTGAAAAATACCTCTGGCTTCTGCAGTTTGTAAAGCCACTGCATAAAACACAATCAACTTCTTCTATTTTTACTGTTTATCCTGATGTAGGCCACACCGGAAGCACGTTTTCAGAAAGCGGTTGTTCTGCTTTCCATCAGAGCTTGCTACTGCTCGTCGTTCTCTGAGTGCTAAGAAGTTGTTCTCCCTGGAGAGAAGGATGTTACAGACTATTTTGCTGTTCATTGCTTGTACAAATCTACTGTTCCTGTGCTTAATCTACTTCTCAGCACTTGGAAGCTCCTAAAAAGTAACAGTGAAGCTGTAAAGTGGTTTATCTGAGCTTCCTGGAGTTGTCAACTGATTTAAAAACTAAACACAACAAAGAAACAGATAATGACGCTGAAGTGGAGAACTCCATTCTGATCTTTGCATTAGATTTTAACAAGAGATTGTCCATTGGCATTAATGGACTGGGCTGCATCTGCTAATCAAAACAGAACTGGAAACTCTGGACTCAAGGACTCTGATTAGCAAAATACAGAAATATCAGCTACTAGGCAGGCTGGCATAAAGCATGACGGATCAGTGCACAGCCCTGTATGTGGCTCCAGAGATTTCCATTGCTTTGGGATTAGGTTGAAAGACATGCCACTCACTACAGAGGGAAACAGACACCTGAACAATGCAAGATTAGTATCTTTTTCTTTTGATGTTGCTTGTTTCTGAATTCCGGCAAATCTGAAAACAGGCTAAGCAATAGCTCTCTTCAATCTTGAAGGAAGAGGAAAACTCGGTTCCAGTTACGAGTTTCCTTCTTCATTTCAATTATCACATGACTCCTGTACATTAAACTTGCGATGGTGCATGATATTCCCTGTGCTGTCCTATTCTTTTCTTTTAAATCTATTTGATGAGGATTTTTAGGTCTTAATTGAGAGGGAGAGAAGTCTAACTCAACTAATATTGCCTGCCAACGAAGGTGAAACTTTGTGAGAATTAACTGCCTCAACCTAGATTCTAGTACTTGAATAAGTTACTCGACTTTTAGAAACACTGAAATTTTGTTTCTCATTTAAAATCATATAGGTGCTCATACATTTCTCAACATGTCTGTTCACTTGCTTAACACAGTGCCTAGAACCTCCTAAAAAGATATAGCTTGAAGTGTTAAATTTTAGCTGCTAAGACTGCCAACAGGGTCTGAAGTCAGGAAGATGGATCAAATGTGAAATGTGAACTGAGGCATGCTTGCTACTTAAAAGATTAATACACCATCCCTCTCCCAAATCCAAACAAAACGAACTCTGACCTCCTAATACTTTAGGTTTACAAGCCTCTGCGTAAACAACATACAGCAATGCAACAGTGCATGAGGTTATTGAAAAAATATGCATTTTTCCTAATTGTGACTAGTAATTTTCTTTACTACTTCATAGTTGTCACAAGTTTTTATGCAGCAGTAAGAGTAAGAAAACCAGAGAGATGATTTACAGTTGACTTGGACGAACACCACAGCCTCATCATGCCCAGCCACATTCTCAGCCTTCACCGAGACACGGTAAATCCCAGGATTCTCATAGCGGTGACGGATGGGTTCTCCAGTCATGGTAAGGTTGACATATATTGCCTTAAAGCCATCTCCAAGATCTACCTGGTATTTGGTATTCAATATATCACCCTATAAGGAAAATACATTAAAAATATTTTAAATGGCCAGAACTGAAATAGAGAGGACACATGATTATAACCATTTCCTGAATCACAACAGCATTTCCAGCCCCAGCCAGATATTTTGACTCAATTGCAGTAGCTACAGTAAAACGACTACACTCATGGCAAGGACTGTAGTGCAACAGATGCTGTGGGCATTAATAGGGATAATACTAACTTTCCACAGTAATGTGCTACCTTAGAATCAGACACCTCAGACCACCAACCAAGCTGTATGACACATCACTCTTGTCTTAATGCAGCTGGACATTAACTAACATAACAGTGCAGGGCAGACCCAAGTTCTGGAATGATGATCATATGACTGTAAGCAACTGAGAACTGTTATTTTAGTGAATTACCATTTATCCAGTGAACTTCTAGCCTAAGCAACTATAAAGTAAAATTAACTGGTTTAGACCACCTTTACAGCACCTTCTAACCACGCCCTCTGAGTGTCAACCATAGGGCCTTGAAGATTGAAGCTGGGATCTTCAGACAGGGTTATGCTGCATTATACAGAGCTACCAGCATGTCTAGAACTAACACGCTCTGCTGCAAAGTTAGATGTATGCTTAATGGAGCAGAGTATTGAGCCAAGTTTGGGAAAGGGTTTAAAAGTCCAGCCAAACCATTCTGTCACATCAAGCACTTCACATAAGTTATAACTCATTGCACTTGTGCTAAGTGCTCCTTTAAATGACACTGGCTTCCTAAACTCAGGCCTAAAACACTGCAAGACTGATACTATTTTCAGAGGACAAACATATGCCCATGACTCATGTCGTCCCAATGTGGCTGCTCAGGAAGAAAAGTCAAGCCTATGCTACATGGACTGGCCATGTGGATGGAGTCAAAGGAAAATTCATTTTAGCTGTGAACAGCAGCATGTTCTCAATTCTACTGCTTGCCTTAGCAAGCTGTGCTTTTTCCTCGGTCTTCAGCAGTATGTTCCTGCCCGCTTGCCACAATACACAGCCATCACAATCATGCAATTAAAACAGGTTGCAGGGCCAGGCTTGGCAGAAAATCCTCCATACTGTGAAAATACAGTGTTGGTTTAAAAATCTTCATAGCTTCTAGGAAACAGACATATACATCCATATGCTAGTCAGGTGACCTGAATGGCCATCAGAGCAGAGAAGGATTGACACCCATCAAAGTATTCAAAAATCACTTCAGTTCCCCATAAGTCACTCTCTGAAACAGGTTTGCATCAAAATCTAATTCTGAAAGGCAGCAGTAATGTAAAATCAAAGGAGGCAACAAAGCCTAGAACTTTTGCTCCCCTGCATTACGAAGTGATGGAAAACATACTGGTTTATTCTCCTTTTATTATTTTGTAGTCTGGCTGATTTTCTCCCATGTTTTATCAGATGAAAGAGTGTTGCTTCTAATCTAAAAAGAATACCCATAAGAAGGAACCTGTAGGCTTATCAAATACCTAAACATCATATTTCAACACACATAAAGGACCTTGAAAGCTTCTTCACTGTGAAAATTTTTTTCCTCCAAATAACATCTTTCTTTGACAACAGATGGGTAGAATTTAGCAGAGGAGATAATATATTATTCAAGTTTAAAGCAAAAGAGATGCCTTCTTGCCAGCAATGTGCCAGTAAGTGGAATCTCTTTAGATGACATTAGCTTGCAAACAGTTCTTATTTGCTCTTTCTTATGCTAACAAGTATACATGCATATTTTTTCCAGGTGAGACAGAAACCAGTGTTGAAAGCCAGTAGATGCAAGCTTCTCTTAATTTTTTATTCTAATAGCTTCCCTAGTGTAAAGATGACAGCGCTGTCTTCAAAACACCATGACACTTCTGTTTCCCTGGCCAGGAAAGACAGAGAACAATGGACAGATAACAAGAGAGTCACATACGAAAAAGGCAGCTAAATTTAAAAGGAACTGATGCTTCCACTTCCATGCAAAATAAATGATTGTCATGATATTATTTATTCATACATTCAGTCAAAAGAATTTGGAAAAAAAAATATCAATTATTATTTCTAAGGTCACTTACAAACTGCTCAATTGTACCTGAAGCCTGCTTTCTTTACTCCTTCTTGTGTGGCAATAACATGCATTCACATATACTAGTAAGTTAATTTTGTTCAGCAGAGAATGTGATATGTTTTCATTTATCCTAGTAGAGCTGTTTTTAAACTCAGTAATTGTTATGAATCATCATTAAGTAATTGTTATGAATTCTGATTAGACTTTTTTGTATGGATTAAATCCTAAGCAACGCTCAGGACATTTGAGTATAAATATTCTTCTAAGCCATAGGGGGCAGCAAACTGTTACATTTCTTCTAAATCTGCCTTCCAGTTCGATGTACGGAGCGAAGACTTCATCATTAAACACAGCACAGGATTCCCTTCAAGATCCCTGACTTAATAAGATTTTTGAATAATTTTAAATATTTTACGTATTGCCACAGAGATTCACGAAAGTCTCAGAATCTATACAGTAGGAAAAAAGTCAAACTGCCAATCAAAATCACTAGAGTCCAAATTGCAACCAAATGCTCTATTACAATAAACATTTCCAAACAAAATATAAAAAGAGAAGGCAGCGTAACTTGCCATACAATTGTGGGGGCACAGCAAGCATTGGGATGAGAGCCTACGCAGTGTTAAGTAGCCCGGTGTTCCGCACATAACCTTCTTGATTCCATTACAGAAATAAAGCCCGAGTGCCTGATTTATATCGCACAGGTTTGCCAAACTGTGTGAACTTTCTTGAAGTTCTTGCAAATCAGTGGGTTTAGCCAGGAAGTACAACGCTCTCGTAACCTGAGCACAGCAGTTACAGCCTAATCCTAAAAAACAAGCATTAGGAAATATATCCACGGCAAACAATTAATCCAAAAAGTACTCAGTGCTGTTGGTCAGGGCCTTAGGGCATTGTTTCTCTCAATAAACAGAAAAAGACATATATTTTAGAACACAATCAATATCTAATAGATGTTCTTATGCTGTGCTATTTACTGATTTCTGTAAAGCTTTGCCTCACTCCCTTCTGAAAGACAGATTCTCAAAAACACTTATAACCAGAATATTAAATGTTCTCCACATTTCTGTTCTTCTCTGATACAGCAGTTTAAATTTTCAGTCCAAAGAGACCTTGGTAATTTAGTTCCTTTGATTTTCCAAGAAGCCATTGCCTTTAAGGTGTAATGACTGACTACACTGCTGAGGAAACAAATCCCATACTTGGATAGAACTTGGTAGTTCACTGAGCTTAGTGGGTTGTCTGATTCACTTGAAAACAGAAGTTGCAATATTTAGAGAATCATTCATCTTTGTTTCGAGCACAAATTAATCTTCATTCAGCAGCAAAGCAGGTAGGAGCGAAATGAACCCTAAAAATAGCAAGGAAACTTTCATAAAGCCAATGTTCATTACTACCTGCTCTTGTCTGACAATGAAGGTGATGTCTTCCCCAGGCTTAACAGCCAAGCTCTCTTCTCTGATGCTGATCTGAAGTCCCTTGGGAGCAATCAATGGACACATATGCTGCGCTAAGTTCTGCTGCAGGTCTACGCCACCTTCACACACATTAGAAATAACCTTCCTGTACCTGCAAAAGCAATAAGCAGCGAGCACAGCGAATCAGAGGTTAGCAGAACACCATAATAGAACCACAGAATCGTAGAATGGCCTGGGTTGAAAAGGACCTTAAAGATCATCTAGATTCAACCCTCCTGCTGTGGGCAGGGCCGCCAACCACTGGAGCAGGCTGCCCAGGGCCCCATCCAGCCTGGCCTTGAATGGCTCCAGGGATGGGGCATCCACAACTCCTCTGGGCAACCCGTTCCAGTGCCTCACAACCCTCTGAGTGAAAAACTTCCACCTAATATCCAACCCAAATCTCCCCTCTCTTAGTTTAAAACCATTCCCCCTTGTCCTGTCACTATCAACCCCTGTAAATAGTCGCTCCCCCTCCTGTTTATAGGCTCTCTTCAACTACTGAAAGACCATAATGAGGTTTCCCTGGAGCCTTCTCCAAGCTAAACAAGCCCAGAGGCACCAAATGCAAGTGTAATGGTAGCTAATGAATATTCCTTGGGTTCACAAACAGACAAGATTGACGATGATCGAAGCCAACTCATAAGGCAAATACTTTGACAAGGGACATTGCCTTTACTGAGCAAAACCTGTTGAAGAAAGAGGGTGTGGAGCATGATGAGGATTTCACTTGTATTCATTAGAAGAGTCACAGAGTCTACCTTCTCAAATTTAGAAACGTGCCTGACCAGCTCTCCAGGAGCTAGTCTGCTGTCCTCTCTGCCACACCCTTTCCTAGCATTCAACAGTCTTCAATGCTTTAGAGATCTTGGTTCAATCCCCAAAAATCAGGAAGAAATGAGACCAAGCAGCTTCTGCATTGATGCAGATGCAATTGCTTAACTGCTGCTCTCAAATGCTCTATGCATTTCTTAAAACACTTAAAGCATTTATTTAACATAACAGTGTAAAAGATTGAAAAGTCTAACAATTTTAAATAACTAATAATGAAATACTTGGATGTGTACAGAAATTATTTACAGATCAGTTTCACTCAGGTATGTTATTTTTAAACATCCTTTAAAATCAGAGTCAGATTTCACTCTTTTGAATTCCTATTCTGTGTATCACAGCTGTCAGCCACAGCCTAAAAGGCATCACTTTCCTCAGTAAGGCAAATATACACAGACCGTGATTCTATTGCCAGATTTGACATTTCATCATTTGGTTCTCTCTCCACAACAGACAGAGATGATGTTATGATAAGCCAGAATAGATGCCAGCTGCAAGTTATTCTCAGCACAGACGTCAGACTACATTGCAGTGTATATTCTATGCCGTATTGTTTACAGTTACTAAAGCTTTCCTTTGATTCTGAGTGCCCATATGGTCAGGAAAAGAATCTATGCTCCACAGAAATCCGTACCCCTGTGGAAGTGGGAGACTGGGAAGTTCTATGAGATGTTACTGGCTCCTCAGAGTAATTCATTGGATTCAAATCAAAAATTGGTCAGAACCCAAGTAATGCACTAAAAGAAAAGGCTCTGAATGGACATTCCTATTGGAAGTGTAACAACGGCTACAAAATGTTACAGAAAATATATTTTTAAAAACACAAAGAACAAAACAGCTCCCCCTCTTCCCAAATGGATTAGTTTTTGAACTGCTGTGAACATGTGAAGTAACATTTCTCTCTTCTTAGTCTGTAGAAAGCTTCTGCACATGCTCTAAGAGTCAGAACTTTTGCATTTCCCAGTTTTACAGTTTGCCTTATATACACTTCCTTCAAACCACTTTTGTGGCTCTCGGTCAGAATGTTCTCCTCCTCTCTGGAAGCCTCTGCAAGCCAACTGAATGCAAAATCAGCTTACCCAGTGCTGCTGGTGTACGCCTGCCCCAGCACACAGTCTTCAGGAGGTGCTTCTGGGTGAAACCAGAAGTCAGCAAAGCATTTGCTAGACTCCGACTTCAGAGGTGCAGAGCGCTCAAACCCATAATCACTGAAAAACATCAACAACAAATGTGTTTCTTCATTCAGCAGTACAATTTAGGGTGGATGAGACTACTTCTTTAAGAGTAAAAAGATTTTTTTAGTATCATTCTAGCAGATGAACATACAAGTGGATTAAGCCAGTTCTGTTCTAAATCTAATTTCAACAGGAGTTGTGTGCACTTCGGGGAAAAACTGCTTGTAATTACTTTGTCAGTTCTGCAAAATTATGGCTCTTGGTAGCTTAGATTTTTAAAAGGTTTCCTTAGCCACTCAGACCAACACATTTCTTCTGGTATTTTTGCTTCATTTGCAAATAGAAATAGTTTGCTTGCCTTATAAATCAATCTAATGGTCATTTTTCAAGTCTTGATCAATAGAGAGAAACATCAGCATTTGTTCAGTCAGGTGAAACAAATACTTAAAACATGGCATTGTTTTTAAACAAAGGCAAATGCAAAACCATGTATTTGTTCATACATGGTTACATGGGGAGAAAGGCAAAAGGAGGAAAATAAATCTATCTCAAACCCTAAGTAACTATTTACTAGCAATAAATCAAAAGGTCCACAGACAGACTCACCATAAGAAATCAGCATTCACACATTCACAAACTGTGGATGTGAGCGCTGATGTGAAACTTCTCCCTTTAATGCACCATGATGAAATCTTCCTCTTTCGAAAGCTCCTCTGTTGGCCCATGATGCAACGATCACCCTAAACAAAGCACCAGACTTAATGCACACCATAACCTACACCATGCAGACATGACCTTACGTTGCCCTGAAAAAGGCTGGCCTTGATGCCAAGACTATAAACTTGTATCAACTCTCTCATATTCAAATGCATAGGTATAGAAAATGTCATATCCACTGCTGTCCACTAATGGGTCATTATGGAGTTGTAACATACACTGAATTTCAGGACACAAATCCGAAGATGTACAAGAAAATTCAAGTACAATTTAACCCATGTTTCACACGTGCAGAATCTAGGCACAACCCTCCAACTGACCATTTGAAAACTCAGTGGGGATGCAGATGGCTGGAGTTCTGTCTATATCACCATTTCTTGTGCTGGCAGCCAACATGAGGTATCAACCATGTGGACACAGGTAGAATGAAGAATACTTGAACATGCTCCACTGGTAAATGGGCAGCTGCAAGTACTCTATCAAAGTTATTTTAGTTGTTTCTAATTTCTGAAAGACATTTCAGTGTCAATATCCCAAGATACTGTTATTCTTTAAGCTCAGATCTGCATAACATTCTTTGTAAATACACAGCATTCTTAAACAAGAAGTACAAAATTAGGCAGAAGAACTAGCAAATGACAGCCGAAATAATACAGAGTAGTATTAAAAAAAAAAACCAACCCTGCAGAGAGTGAGAGAACAAATGTACTGGAAGAAGTAAAACATAATAATCACAATGATTATGAATAAATGACATATTCTATTTAATGTACAAAAAAAAAAAATAAAAACCAACAAACCTCATATTGGTCTCTTTGATCAATACATTGTATAGAGAATGTAGCTTCCCAAAACTGGATTTGGCCAGAGCACCAGGATTAGTGCAGCCTTAATGCATTACTGCAGAAATGGCACTGCCCAAAACAACTGGACTCCATTACCTGATTGGTCCACTGAGATCCTAAATTACTTCTGGAATGGTCTTTACTTATGGCAATTTATATATGAGTACAGTATGTGGTCAGGAAGTTGTCAGAACACATGACTGCATGTTAAAATTGCTTCAATCAATATTATACACTTTAGTTTGTGGTATGCTTCACAATCCAGCAGGACCACCTATTATTATGGCAGACCACCAGATATACTTCTCCCTTTCCCAGGACACAGATCACACAACCAAAAGTAACACAAAATCCTCTCCGATTTTAAACTACTGTAAAATCAGCAAATACTAACATAAGGACATCAAAGCTGGGGCTGTAGCATCCAAATTCTATTTGAAAACATTTTCCCAGCACGCAGTTCTACATGAATCTGAAAGCCATGGAAAAGTTGTGGCAGTTAACACAAGACTGAATACCTGTAGATTTGTGAGCTCCCAAGACTCATAGTCATCATCGGTGCACTCCCTGGGGAAGGATGGTCTGAAGTCCACCTTCACCAGTTCCCAGTCTGAACGGTAGCTAATATGTCCAAAGACACTAAACAAAAAGATCAAAAGTAAAATCTTACTTCAAAGAAATGCCATACATCTGAGATTCAAATTTTCAGTTCTATCTTTTCATTTCATTGGTCATAGTTCCCTACAGAAAGGCCAGTGGTTAATTTTCTCCCACTTTTATTCCTCTCATATATAATGTGTCTAGTTAGCAAATATTTGCCAATTGTCTATGAAACTTTACAATGAAAAAATATAGCTCATAGATTATAGGTTGGATTATAGGTTGGTTTGGGTTTTTGTTTGTTTGTTTGTTTTACCCCAGCAAACTATCCAGTAATCTGAGACATACTGCCTTTTCTAATTTGGAACCCAACATTTTTGTCTATTATCTTGTTACATGAAACATAGAGAACTCTCAGATTAAGACAGGGAGCTCAGATCAGGGAGCAGAACCCAGGATCACCAGATTTAATTTCCAGCTCTGTCACTCCTTCCTTACGATTATAGTGCAACTTCTTCAGTTGCTTTTGTTGTTATTTGTTTTTGTTTTTTAACTTCTACAATTTCAGGTGGCAATTTGCGATTGTTTAAACTCACACCAGTATCATGAGATTATATTCATTTCTAAGGAATTCACTGCATCTACACATTTTGCTGAAGAACTGAGTCTCCTCTTCATTTCAGATAGTCCAATGCATAACAAAAACCAACCTGCAAATTTCTTTTTTTAAAAAAAAAACAAAACTCATTGCTTTAAAAACCAAGCTGCACTTTCAAAGCAGCCAACATTTTCAAAGTCAGAATATTTATTTCCAAAACAAAACTGACATCCAGCAACAAATTAGAAAGGATGAAGACTATTTGGGAAAAAGTCAAATGTATTTGTGGTTTGTACGAGGCTTATGTGGCTTACTTGCCAAAGAATTTAAGGTTGATTCTGAAGCCAACAATTTCTGTGCAGTTCATACTGCACAGAGTTCATATTCCAAGCTTTAGCAGCATTCTCCAAACTAATTGATTCCTTTTGTTTTGCCCTTAGTTTTGTTCAAATCCAGACACA